ATTTTGCTTTCAGTTGTATTGTGTTAAGTCTTGTATATGTCAGGGCTCTAGACTAACATTCTTCTTAGGTGCACCAGCACAAAAGTTAGGTGCACCCAAGTCTTTCTACCGCATCGCTTAACACTGCAGTTTTAAATGTTCACTTTTTTTTTTGAAAATTGCTATCCATGCAGACAATATTGATTTGTAAATAATTAACTAACAATCTTGTCAACACAAAGTTCTTTATTTGGAGCACAGTTCTACAAGAAAGATAAGTTACTGAAAAAGTGCTAGTGTTTAAAATTTAAACTTCAAACACCTCAAGATGTATTAAATAAAAAGAAAATCTAAATTAAAAGGGCCTTAAAGTGTCTCAAAGGCTTCAAACCGAACATCTCAATATCTGAACATCTGAACAGCTTGATATCTTATAGACTGTCCTCCATTGCAGTCCTTAGGTGGCCAACTTGAATGTGTCTGCGATGACACCTATAAACTGGGTGCACGCAACATCATTACTGTACGATGGGTTTACGTTAAAGCCATTTTCTTGTGAAGAATTTCTTTGGACTTGAACTTAGTGAACAGAATTTCTTCTTTGGCAATATTGTAGGCAATGTTAAACGTAATCATCATCTCGGCTTCCTCTGACGACCTGTTTACTGCTGCCTGCCACTGAAAGGCAGTGGGGAGAGGGGACACTGGGGCAGTGCATTTATCGCAGCATATAATCTGTTTTCTGGATACACTGTGCTTTTTCAGCATTTCAGTCTGAAACATATTAGCAACAGTCCCAAATGCAGTATTGCTGGTGTTCTGACAAACCATGCTACTTTGGCAAAACCTCCTACCTTATGTACTTTATGCACATGCGCAGAAACAATGGGTATGATAGTTTGTCAGGTAGCATGGATTCCCAGAACATCTGGCCATGGTCTTTCCACACTCATGACAGTAAATGCAGTGCATCACATTGTCAGCTTTACTGTATCTTAGCCAGGGAAACAGGTCAAGCCACTCTGTTTGAAATTTATACACTTTCCCCCTTTTACTTTCAGTGGGCTCTGGCTTGGAGTCAATCGTATGTGGCTCATTATCTGATACCCCCTCTGGACTAGTGTTAGACATAACCTAAGAGCTTGATGGTTCCGTGTCAGAACACTGGCTATGAATTTCAGACGGATCAGGCCTTAACAAAAAAGTTATAATTCGTTGTCTTCATCTTTTCTCATTACCCACAGTTATATCAACTTCTATCGGGCCTAGGCTACTCACCTCTCTCTATCCGCCTGCACTTTCAAACGTACACATGCAGGCCTATAGGAATATCTGTACCACGGCCAATCAGAGAGGTCCCACCCTTGACTA